TATTTAAAATTTTTTCAAATGACATCTTTATTCAAAATTCATCAATACACTACTATCCCAATTTTTCCACTGTCTCCCTTATTCAAAAATTGATGGCTTTTACAACTATATTATTAACTATACTCTTATTCTTAGGGTTAAATCTGGTTCATGGAAACGCAGTTTTCTTTTTTTAATTTTTAAAATTGTTTTTATGTGTAAGAGTGCACCATGTGCATGCAGTGCCTGTGGAGGAAGAAGATGGTGTTGGATTCCTTGGAACTGCCATGTGGGTGCTGAGAACAGAACCGAGGTCATTTGCAACAGCAGCCAGTGTTCTTTAACCACTGAGCCATCTCTCCAGTCCCAGGAACTCAGCTTTATAAACAAGTTGTATGCTAATTTAAGTACTTTCAGAGTCTTTTGTTCTCTGGTTTGTAGGGGAAGAATTCTTATCTTTAATAGCCCACAGGCCTGTGAGGTTTTCTCATGCAGTATGATCTGTAGTTTTGATACAATTACAGTCAATGTAATCCCCTATAGTTTTGATACAATTACAGTCAATGTAATCCCCCCATCCCCCATGATGATTCTGCTGAATCATGGCCTGGTGTGGGTTTTCATAGAGTGTGCTGTCCTCAAATTAGGTAAAGAGCAGGAGCCTTTCTATAGAAAACCAATGGTATAGCTTTGTTTCCACACTGAAAATTAGACTTAATGTCCTCAAATATCTTTTTTGTTTTTGTTTGTTTTTGACAGTGTCTCCCTGTAGGCCCAGCTATCCTGGAACTTGCTATGTAGACCAGGTTGACCTTGATCTCACAGAGATCACAGAGTCTGCCTCTGCCTCTCAAGTCCTGGGGTTAAAGGCATGCTCCACCATGCCAAGCAGACCTCAATTATCTTGAAGATTCTCCAAGGTTATATTGTTTTCCTTAACAAAATATGGGCTATGTTTGAAAAGGAGCTGATGTTCTTTTATGATCAATATGCTTAATTGTGCAATTATAATAATTCATCTGAAGTAGCCTTACTGAGTGAGGGGGAGGGAGATACCAAGGAAAGAGGGAGACACAGATGGAGAAATTAGGTGGATTGGGCTAGAGGGATAGGGAATGGAGGAGCTGAGGAAGACACAAAGACAAGGAACTGGGGATCGAAAGGGAGGGGGAGAAGCTTTGGCTTATTTTTTAGGCTCTATCTGAGATGACAGAAGAAAAAATATGAACTGATGAGGATGGTTAGGGAACTGTCTTGGACAGCTGTGGAGCTGTGGTTGTGACTGAGTAGGTGGCAGAATCATGGAGAGGAGCTGATTGCACCTGAACAGTACAGCACAGCTTTACCCTTGGCTCAGAACCATGTAGTTCCATCCCCAGTTCGTTCAATGGTGGTGCATTGGCACAGGCTATAGAAAGTGATGCTCTTGGATTTTGTGTATCCCATTTGCAGATTATGAACTCGTGATGTAGCACAGTACTCAAAGGGCTGTGCAAGTTGCTTAGAGAACAAAGAATAGAGTTATGAAGCTCTAGCCAAATTGTTAAAGGCTCTAGCTGCTAATCTATGGCTTTCTGAAAATAAGAAGGCAGTGTGTCAGCTTGAAAAGAATCTGATTCATGGTCATTATTTAAAAGTCACAGAATTGCTTGCTCAATACCTCTCCTTACCAGTTCCTGTAGGTTGTAGGACTTGCCTGTTCCTTCGCGGGATACTGAATTGACTCCATCAGAGCACAGATCTTACCTGGGGACTGTCCTCACTGGCTTGCAGGTATGTGCGGAGAGGTAGACAACCTTTGTGGGTAGTGATGCCTCTTGGGGCTAGTTGACCCTGTATAGAAGTCATATGTGCTGTCGGTCTTTCTCCTTGGGAATCAGGGAAGACAGGGAGACACTCAGTGATCAATCATTCTGCGACTTTCTAACAGCATGACTGAACTCGGTGTCCTCGTTTTTTCATGTCATATTGGGATAGTAATGTCTTCCCCATCTTACTGGAAAGACAGAATGAGACATTCTGGATATGGAATATTGTGAATGTACAGCTGGCAAAGGTTTTGGTTGGTGAATCATTCTGGCATCCTTGAAATTTTAATTTGAGTCAGAAAAAGTCCAATTAGTTACTAAAAGATTAATCAATTGTCTTAGAACTCACAATGAGTTGTAACACACCTGGGAGGCCTCATCTATACTTGATGAATACCTTGCCTTGTATATGTTGGTTGACTTTCAAAATTCCTTCAGACTTCTTGATCACTTGACAATGTATATCTGTTTTTTTTTTTCTCTAAATGCTTCCATAAAATTCTATAAACAAGTCTAGTCATCAGCTATGATTTATAAGATGTAGGAAAATTTGACATGTGAATCAATATCATTAATTATCTGATACTTAAGGTCATTGACATTAGAGATGGTCTTCTTGCAGCTGCTCAAATGAGATGGCACGTGTGACATCCTCAAGGATGCTTGGCACATACTGACAGCTGATCACAGCCTTATTCCCTCTTTGTTGGTGTCATAGCAAGTGAGCAGCAGCTTGCAGCTATACTAGGTGGCAGATTCTGTCATCACTGTTGGAACAATCAGACCAGCCCAAGTTTTTAGGCTTATATGAACAGTCATCTGGAGTCAGATCTTTGGTGGATTATTTGACATGATAAATAGATTCAGTCTTAGATTCAAGATAATCAAATAAGCTTTTAATCTTCTGAGGTGCCTGAAGAAGCTCAACGTAATATCATCAGCTAACAATAACAAAAGTGAGCATCACAAATCCAGGGCACCAGGAAGGAAACTGTCTTGTTTTAATGGCAGAGTGCCCTTTGCAAAAGGCTGCAAGGAGGAACAACTGCACAAAGGAACAGCAACCAGTCAGTGTGAGATATTTATTGAATTACATATTAAATTTTCCAATCTTGTGAATAATTACTAATAATTACGGGGTGTTTAGAATTTTGTGGAGAAGTTTAGAGAAAGAAACAGATACATATTTTCAAGTGATCAGAGAGGGAAGAAGCATAATAGTACACTTGTTTTCTTTTGTTGCTGTTGAGACTTGAGAAAGCCTTTCACAAGTTAGCCACTAATTCTAACCGATTGATAGTTTATTTTTTTATGTTTTTGAGATAGGGTCTCCCTGTAGCCTCAGCTGGCCTGGAACTCACTATGTAGACCAGGCTGGCCTTGAACTTACAGAGATCCACCTGACTCTGCCTCTTGAGTGATGGGATTAATTTTGTAAAAATGACTTTAACTTGTTTGTGTATTAGATGCATAAGCAGCTTATATTCTCTATAAAGGTAATATTCTTTTAAAAATAAGAGTTCATTTGAATTTCCCTGTACCTAAGTTGCTCAAGTGTGTGTGTGTGTGTGTGTGTGTATGTGTGTGTATATTCTGTTAAACTATGGGTATAAAAATAAGTCATTAGATATCAGTTTAATACTATATCTATTTAGCAGAATAGTTGTATTAGGTCTTCTCCCATAGGCTGTTTAACCTAAAGCTCCTAGGCCTGATATCACTGTCAGGTTTGGACTTCATCCTATGAAGCAGACCTTAAATCCAGTTAGAAAGTAGTTGGTTCCTCCTTTCATATTCATGCCACTATTGCACCAGTAAGCATGTCTTTCAGGCCAGTTGTAGTTCACAGGATTCCCAGCTGGGTAGAGTTCATGCTAAATTTTCTCTTCAGGTAGCCTTGCATAGCACCTTCTAGCACTATGAAAGCTAAACAGTAGAGATGAGACTTTGAAGTCAGCACCAGCTTGATTTCACCTTGTTTGTTCTACAGCTCATGTTTGTAGTGTCTTCAGCAATAGAGTCTTACTGTAAAGTTCTGGTGGGTAACCAAGAGAGGGGCCTCTATTGTTTGAGGATCTAGGAGATGCCTAGTGAATGGCTTCAAAAAAGGGAGTCCATTCCTGGCATTGTGCTTTTACTTTGCTATGGTGTCTAGTAGGGGCAATGTACCCCTGTTTTAAGGTAATTCCTTTTCATCTCTTTTTATAATGTATATACTGTAAGCAGCTTCTATTGTGGTAGATTTTCATGTGGCTTTCTCTAAAAGCCTTTAGTGTTAGTTATCCCGCCTCATAGTCCACAACTCTTTTTTAACTGTCATAGCCTTTTCCAGCTGACCCCAGGTTCACAGTCATGAACACTTTCAGGATTCTGGAGTGTCAGAACTAGAATTAACATCAGGACATTTTTTTGTGTTCAGTTTAAAACTACTGTTTTCAGTTTTCCCACAAAAGCTTTTTCAGAAGTCTTGCAAGAAAAACGTGGGATGTCTGAACCCCTGAAACTCCTTGAGGAAAAAAATAGCATAAACAGGCAAACAAGCCACAGTGCTGAAGAAGATTAGACAGACCCTTTAGAGCTATCTCTGCATGCCAAATTACTTCTTTGGTTCCTAATATATATAGTGTTTTTCCCTTTTCTGTCTCTGCCTCTCATTCATACTCTCTCAGAGAGCTTCTCTTGATAATTTCTATCTTACTGATATTGTTATTTTGGTCAATAATCAAATAGTAGGCCCCTCCCACCTTAGCACTGCAAGGAAAGAAAATCCCAAGCTTTGAAATAGCTTAAAACACACTTTGCAATTCCGACGTGCTACATTTTAGCAGTTTAATTCAAGTTCCATATAAGATATCACCCAAGACAATGAACACAGGAAGTGAACAGGATCTCTGCTTTTCTTTGTTTGTGGATGTTGGGGTGAAAGATGAGGGTTAATTGTTATTTTTAGGGATTTATGAAAAGATTGGAAATGGAAAATATAAGCATATTGTGTTAAATATGTAATTTAATTGAAAGCATAGGGCATGCGAACTTATTTTAAGAAATATCTGTCACACTTTCTTTTCCTCTCAATCAATCATTGACAATTTCACCCTAGATTTCAACATGGTACTTGGGAAAGTGCCAGCGTGGGAGGGGCCACACTGATATATTTCCATTCCTGACAGGGTGTGGATTGAAATTTCCCTGGCCGGTTGTCAACAGCAAGTCTGAAGGCAAGAAGGTAAATGCTTGCATGCCTAATATAATTTTAAACAATGAGCACTTCATTGGAAAATTGTTTTAAATAATAGAAACCAAAGGGTATAATTGAAGTGGGAAGGATACGCTATTTTTATTAAGTCAAATGCCTTAAAAACAGCATTTTGATGATGGTTTGGATTTTCTACAGCTATACTCACAGACAATAGTAACAATCTCTGTTGTCTCCCTCAGGCCCCAACTGCCTGGTCAAGGAGTTGATGTATCTGATTGAGTCTTTAAAAGAAGTGGCTGTTTGAATATTTTTTCACCTTCACATACTTGAGATTGTATACCATCTTTGATGCATTATTCCTTTAATATAAATGTCATGATATTTTAGTGTCTATATTTTAAACAATTTGAGTTTAAATGCATTTTTGTAACACAAATTGGAAAACTCTCTTGATGGCATCTTTCACATGCATATATATGTATATATATTTTTAGATATTGTTTGCTATGTAGTTTATTATAACCTGGTTTTCCAGCAGAATAGCATGTACCTGTATAAAGGTAGATTATAAGATTTGTAGATATTAAAGAAATTGTAAGACCTGAGGGTTTTGGGAGTATAAGGAAGTTTTTCTTTATTGTGTTTAGGAAAGAACAATTTATTTACATCTAAAAAAACTACATTCATTTATTTATGTCTATGTGTAAGACCTGAGGGTTTTGGGAGTATAAGGAAGTTTTTCTTTATTGTGTTTAGGAAAGAACAATTTATTTACATCTAAAAAAACTACATTCATTTATTTATGTCTATGTGTGTGTGTGGTGTGCAAGCCACGGCACATGTGTGGAGGTCAGAGGACAACTCTCAGAAGTTGGTTCTCTCCTTCTACCATGTGGGATCCAGGGAAATAAAACTCATGTCATCAGGCTTGGTGGCAACCACTTTTACTGTTGAGCCGTCTTGTCAGTGTGGAAAGAATAATTTCATTCAGTATATTTCGAGTTGTTAAAATTTCTACCTAGTCTAAATTTCCCCTTTTCACTCTAAAGGGAAGCACATTTTAATAAATGAACTGTTTCTAATAGAGGAGAAAATAATTAAGGGTTGGTGTACTATGCAATATATTTATTGGTTATAGTTGCTGCAGATATTCTGTTTGAATAATACCACATAACAGTTAGATGTTAAGACTGTCTACCATGAAAACAAGGCAAATGAATGCATAAATATTAGCTAGATGCTTCCATGTGCTGCCATTGTGTTCTTTCCTAATAAAGTACAGAGATGGATAAAAGCACTGAGTTCACCCTCAAGAGAATTATATTTACAAGTGAAGATAGAAATATAAAAACCAAGTATTCATTTTTATGTTTTACAGGCTTTATACTGAGTTCAAGATTGTATAACTGTGTTAATTCAACTGTGAACCTAAATATTTTATAGCCACTTTTGAAAGAGATGTATCTTTGCTCTGGAAATTGTTATTGAGTACATTAAAACTGTAATGAAATGCTTCTTCTAATAAAAAAAAACACAAAAACCAAGTACTTACAGTGTAATAAGGAAAACAATAGAGACATAAATTCAGTGTGGTTATAGTATATAGTGGTGACCAACTCTTTAGGAGTGGACAGTGAGGGAAAGTGTTAAAGGGTCTCACATAAATAGTAAAGTCAGAAAGAAAGAAAATAATCAGGCCAGATACCTTAAAACCATCAGGAAGGGTTGGGAATAAAGCTCAGACTTGACCACATGTCTAGTTTGTGGTTCTATCCTCTAGTATGACAAAAAAGCAAAATAAAATAAAATAGCAAAAATAACAGCTCCTTCTCCAAATCAAATAAAAATAAGAAAAAAAGAACAAGAAAAGAAAAAGACCTTTTCTTAAAAAAAGAAAAAAGTATTAGGCATTTGAGGTATTTACACTTGGAAGGTAAAGGCAGGTGGATCTCTGTGAGTCGAGACTAGTTTGGGCAACATAGTGAGTTCCAGGCCCACCCAAGCTATGTTGTAAGGCTGTACCTCAAAGGAAAAAAGATTATTTTTAAAGCTAATAGCATAAGATAAAATTGTACAAGGGAAAGTTTCTTTCTTATAAAAATTGGAAATTTGTGAAATTTAACAATCCCATTAAGATACAATAACTTCAGTTTTGAAACAAATACCAATTTACCAATAAATACAAAATAATACCAAATATTGACAATTTTAAATAAATAAAAATAAAAATAATTCTACAAAATAGCAGAAAATAAAGGGGGGCTGGAAAGATGGCTCGGCAGTTAAGAGTACTGACTGCTCTTTCAGAGGACCTGGGTTTGGTTTCCAGCACCCACAGGACAGAAAACAACCATAACTCCAGGGGATCCGATGCCCTATTCCAGCCTCCATGAGCATTGAATGACATGGGTGTACTTACATACATTCAGGCAATACACTCATATACATAAAATAAACATAATAGAAAAGAAAAGAAGCCGCACCATTTAGGGAAAAAATTTAAAAACAATTTTGTGGAACACAATGTATATGTAATATGAAGTATTCATAATAGTCAATAAATTATCATGCTTCTAATAGGTAATTCACATGTGGATATGAAGAGATAATCCATAAACAGAAAAGAACACATGGCCAACCGTTCAAATATTAGCAAGTATCAATGGAATGTCAATTAGAAGTAATAAGGCTATTTTTGTATTTTATCATTTATTTGTTTGTTTGTTTATATGTGTTTCTGTAGAGCAGGTATAAATATGCCATGGTGTATGAGTAGAGGTCAGCTGACAACTTACGGGAGTCAGTTCTCTTTCACCCTTTCAGTCCCAGGGATTAACTCAGGTCCTCAGGCTTGGCAGCAAGCACCTTTACTAGCTTGGCCATCTTGCCAGTCCTATTTTTGAATTTCAAATAATCTAGAATGATAAGCAGTGACATTATCTGAAGACAGATTATGATCCATGTGTTTCATCTTAGCCTTGGGTTGCTTGCTACTGTGAAAGATAAAATCCCTTGTATTATTTGATCTAGAAATCTCATTGTGAATAAATAATAATAATAAATTAAAATAATAATATATAAATAATAAAAGATACTCAGCAATAAGATAGTAGCTTAAAATTAGAGTATATTAATCTAATTGTAAGGATAGTAAAAGCACAAATTTGAAGACAGTTTCAGTGTAGACAAACAGTTAAGAAGCAATCCGTAGTGAGAACCTGAACACACACACAGACACACAGACATACAGACACACACATAGACACACACACACACACACACACACACACACACTGCAACTGCAAGATTTATAAGCACACGAGAAGATAAAGGCAATGAACTTATCAACATTATGAGAGCAAATATCTCATAATTCTTCTGCCCGCTGTATAATGAGTTATGATTTGATCAAATCGAATTCCTTCTTTTACTTCATCACACTTAAAAATTTCATTAGAGGTTAAATAGTGAATCATTTATTTGGTAATATTGGCAAAATATTGTATCTCTATTGGCGTGATTAATTGTTTATCTTATTTTCTTAGTGAAAGTTACCGATTACTTAATCCCTATATAGTTAGGATCAGAAAGAGGTAACATTAAGGGACAGTAAGTACGAAATTATGTAGCCCAATTTTGGCTAAGGTTATTTGTAATCTTGTTATACCTATCTATATTTATAGTGTATTTACACAGATTTCAAAGTATTTTGAAAAGGGTCCAAATTGTCAAATTGTCAAAATTATGAGCAATGTTAATATGAGTTTTGGGAGGACTAATTGGGGCTTAAGACACCCCTTGGCAGAAAGGGAATTCAGGGGACTCCTGAGGTGGACACTTTAGGCTGGGAAGTTCTTTCTACAAAACCTGTGGCCCTGGTAAGAGACCAAAAGGAGACACCTAACTGTAGGAGGCACTGTCATTCTAGAGAGGTGGGTGGTGGGTCATCCAGGCCGTGGCATTAGGGAGCTAGTGTTTCCTGAGGGCAGTGTGGTATAGATGGAAAGATGGCTCTGATATCAGATGAACTGACTGATTTGTATGCCACCTGTGCCACTTAGTGGTTGGGTGTAAAATCCTAACTTGGAAGAGTTTTTGAGAATTAGAATCAGTATTTGTGAAACATTGGGTATATTCTAGCTGTGATTTTAAAGTCACTGTGGTGAGGGTAGTCCTAATGGCCTGAGCTGAATGAACTTAGGGGGACTTTACTATTTTAAAAGGTAATTTCAGATCTGTTTGAAAATAATGATGACTGAACTAAATCATGAAGTTTTTCAAGTTGTGGCTTAAGAGGCAGCCTGTGTTAGCAATCACCTTTAGACTTAGGCGAACTGACTTTGTGCAGTAAACACTGTCCAGGGTAAAAGCAAAACGCTTCCTGGTAATGCTTGGAGAATATATCCTATTTGCATCTGGAGCATAAATTTCACTGTGGGATACTTTTTTCAGTTTTCCATGTAATCTTAGTTCTGGTACCAGCCATAAACAAACTTCCAGTGTTTTAAACTAACTGCCATGCTTAGTAATACATTCAACACATTTTAAAATTAAACATACATGCCAATGCAAATTATATCTTATTATATAAACTCATATAAATGTGTATTTACCAAGCAAACAATACCCAGATCAAGAAAGAACATGATCAGCTTCTAGAAGTCTCCTTCATGCTTAGACCCCAGGATTTCCTTGAACTGATTCCCTCCTGCTCAAAAGAGCAGATTCTGTTCTTTTCCCAACTCTGGAGCAGTGACATCTTGTTGGTAGTTTGAACTTGACCACAGTTGGTGCATTTACACCACAGTAATTGGCAAACAGTACAAATTATGGGTGTTTTGTTTGTTATATTTTATGAGTCAGTTTACCAGATCACTTCTGTTTCCACCTGGGGCTGACCATCCCCAACCCATCCTCAAAGATAACCTTCTCATTTTAAAAAACCAGATCGTTATCTTTTGCAACTTTTAGAACTATATCAGCTCTGTCAAGATTTCTTATGGCAGGCATTGTGTCTACTTTATTTCATCCTTTGTATCCAGTGGCTAACTCAGTAGAAGAATCTCATAAATGTTTACCAAATAATTAGGATAGTTTCTAATGTAAAGCTAATCCCTGCAACAACCCACCAGCTGACCAACCAACCAATCAACCAACCTTCAGAAATTGGTTATCAAACATCTTAATCAAGTTATTAAATGTTCATTTTAGACTTTTCTGTAAAGCCATGACGAGTCTTCCTAGTATAAATGCTCACATCTTACTGTGATGTGAACAGAAGCCTTCAGGCTGTATATATATATATATATATATATATTTGACCATCTTCTGTTACTATGGTTTGTTCTCATATCTCCCTTGGAAGGGGAGGCAGTGTTAAAGCCACCCAGAACCATAGCAGGAGATTAAGGTCAATCTGTGGTACTGTAATCAGTTCATACCCAGCAAAGGAAGCTGCTGCCAGGGTGAACACACAGCAGTAGTTGCAGCCAGGCCAGGAGATTCACAAAAAAATAGTTCACAAAGTCCCTAGAGCCTTTCTGCAGAAGTAGGCATGGGGAGTTTGAGGGTGCTTACAAGAGTGAGCAAGGTAGTACCATCATTAGAAAAAGTATAAATAATACTAGTAATAAGAGGTATTGAGATAGAGAGCAGGCCTGGGCACGGGCAAGGTCTTAGCCAGGCTTTTCTCTTGGTGGTGTGCAAGCCACTTCATTTCCTCTGTTCTGTTTATTTGTATCCTGAGAAGAAGGAAGTTGGCCTACATAAGCGTTGATGTTCTTTCTAAAGCAGACAAGCTTCAGATCATCTAGTTCTGTGTGTACTCACATCAGGAATAAACACCCTTCCCAGTGGCTGAGGGCAAATCCTGAGAGTATATGTTCACCAAGTTGGGACATTTGAGAGCCAGGTTCAGATCTTTCAGTTTCCCATTCAACCCTCTCCTTTCCTCCAACACTGTCTTCTTTGTTGATTAGTGAAACTGGCAGCCAGAGTGGCCACTGCATCCTTCCATGCTGAAGCTTTTGATGACATCAACTTCAGTTACACAATCAAAGCTCTAAAGATATTATACTACTTTCATATAAATTTTATGATTAAACCAAACCTGTGAAATCCCCTCAGACCATCATTAATCAGTTTTCTTTACTTCTGTAGTAGACTTCCTACAAGATGGGTAATAAAAGCCACATTGTGAAGAAAATATGTGCAATGAGAAGATGTTTCCTGCAAATGTGTGCTTGGTTTTCTGAGGCAGTTTATTGAATTTTTAAATATACCCAGAACATCCATTACCTGAAAAACATCCACCTTTCAGGGAAGACTGCTCCTGAAAAGTCATGGCCTGTAAGATTAGGCCCACAAATTAGTATTTCTTATTTTTTGAGAATTTCATATGTACACAATGCAGTTTGATCATGTCCACCTCTCCCTTCCCCTCCAACTCCTCCTTTGTCCTCCCACTTCTCCCTCTCAAATTCATGTCCCCCTCTTCTAATACACACACACACACACACACACACACACACACACACACACACACACACAACCTACTGAGTCCAGTTAGTGTTGCCTGTATGCACATTCCTCTGGGACCACAAATAGTTTTAAAGTACAAAGTATATATCAAGCTCAGATTTACAGGCACAAAGTGCGAAATAAAAGTCAGGTACAAATTGAACAGAAAAAAATTAAGGACAAATGTAGACTGCCACCTAAAAAGGGTCAAAGGCACCAGTGCAGAGTGGCGTGCATACAGGCAGCTTATCTGGAGTGAGGGGTGACTAGTTAAAATGGTAGATATAGGATAATGAATATCAATTTGGAGCAAAGTATATGTGTGATTTGGTTCCTCGATTTTCTCATCTGTTAAAGGGGAGTGATGGTATTTCCTTAGCAGAGTTGTAGGATTAAGGCTAAGCCAGGTAAAGTATTTAACACAGGCCAGGTAAATTTTTTAAGTCGGCTAATATCTTTTTGACCTATGTTTCTTAGGCAGAAAAAGGCCTCATCAGACTAGGAAGATTAGAGCCAGTACGCACCATTCCATACAGTGCAGTGTTTAGTTCTGAATGTCTACTTTTCTGTGCCCATTGTCTGATGATGAAAACACAAATAAGAGAGATTACATTTCTGTCCTGGAAATAGGCAATATCCCAAAAGAAAGGGACAAAAACTAAAACATTTCATTTGAGGCAGGAGGAGACCTAAGTAAGATTCTGATATTATTTGTGGAGTGGATTGTGGGTGAGGCAAGGAGTTGTTCTTAGGGAAGTCATTCTTTTACTTCAATTCTCTATTATCTATAATTCTACATGATCAAAGAAGGCATTAAAGCCATTAACTCTGTACCCCAATAGCTTTTGAGAGTTATTATCTTTTGGAAAATATTGCTGAATGGCTAACTAAAATGCCTCAGATTCTACAGATTGCATTTGGAATGAGTCAAAAGATAATGAAAACATTAATAGAGGACATGCCAGGTGACAAGTTGCCGGACATTTCTTCAGACACAGTCCACTGAGGGTAGAGGATAGGTACAGAACCTAAACAGAACCAGATGTAGCCTTCAGATGAGGAGGTGGAGAGGTCTTCTTGACTGCTAACTCCACCACTGAGAATGCTAGCCTCTGGCTTTATTTTACCTAAATAGAGGGAGTTCCAACATGAAGTAAGCACACTTCTTGTTCTACAAAGATATGTTTGAGTTCTAAACCTTTGTACTTGTGAATGTGACCTTATTTGGAAAGGAAGTCTTTACAGATGTAATCAAGAGGAAATCATGCTGGTTCGGGCGCTGATTCAGTGGAAAAAGAGACAAACCTGGACACATGCATGTGCACATACATCTATAAGATATAAGGAAATATGTTATGTGAGGTGGAGGTAGAGATTAGAATGATGTAAGTCAAGAAATCTCAAAGATGGTTGGCAATCACCAGAAGTGGGACAGAGGAGTAGAATAAAATTTCACTGAGAGCTTCCAGGGAAACCAACTCTGCAAAGACCTTGCTTCTGGATTTCTGGCCTCCAGGGTTGCTGTAGGATAATACATTCCTGTTTCTTAAGGCACATGACATGTGATATTGTTTTTTGTTATACCAGTAAATGAAAATAGACCTCCATCTGTATCAATACATATAGAGATTCTAGTATTTATATCCAAGGTCAGTGACCTTAGTCCTTCCCTTCCTCTCCCTTCTCCCTTTCTCTTTTTTCCTGCCTCCCTCCTTCCTTCCCTCCTACTATTTCTTATGCCCTCCCTCCCTGCCTCTCTCTCTCTCTCTCTCTCTCTCTCTCTCTCCCTCTCTCTCTCTTTCTCCCCACCCCTCCATTTATATGCTAGGCCAATAGGCTACCATTGTACTACATTTCTAGCCAATTTTACAGTTCTTTATAGGTACATTGAATAATTGTGTATGGTTATATCTTGTGCATTAAAAATAGGAATTAGTTTTTTATCCATCTCCATTTACCAGTTTTTTTCTTTCTCTTTTTGTTTCAGACTTTAACCCATTTTACAATGGACTCCCTTATTGCAGCAAATAGCAAATTTTGCTTCGATTTTTTCCAAGAGATTAGCAAAGATGATAGCAACAAAAATATCTTTTTCTGCCCTCTGAGCCTCTCAGCTGCCTTTGGTATGGTTCGCCTGGGAGCTAGGGGTGAGAGTGCACATCAGATCGATGAGGTATGTATCCAGAAAGGTGCTGACTGGGGCCCTGAGCTGTAGCTCCACATCCAACAGAAGCTAATCTACCTGGTGAACTGGAGTTGCTCACTGCTCTCTGCACCTTAGCGTTGGAAGCCTCTAAGGCTTCATTTGTATTTCCCTCACCTTGCTTTTTCCTTTTTAAAAATTTATTTATTCATTGATTATTTGTTTATATTTTACGTGTATGAGTGTTTTGCTTACATGTATGGAATTGAACTATATGTGTGCAATGCCTGTGGAGATCAGAAGACGGCGTTGGATCCCTTGGAACTGGAGTTAAGGATGGATGTTAGCTGCCATGTGGGTGCTGGGATTTAAACTGAACTGGTTCTCTGCAAGAGCAGCCAGTGCTCTTAACTGCTGAGCCATCCCTACTGTCTCATTTTGCCTTCCCTTTAATTCTACTGTTCTTCAATGTTGAAACTTTCATCTTTCGTATGGAGCTTTCTTAGCCTCCCTTGCCAGACCGATTTTCTCATTCCTTTCATCTTATCTCTGTCTTCATGCCTGTCACTCTTTCTCTCTGTAATTATCAATAACAATATTATTTGTAACTTTTAGCATGTGTATGTGTTTCTTCTTCCTCTCTTGCTGTTCCATTAACTGGATGTGTATTAGGACTGTGCTATTCACCGGTGGATAAAGATGTTGGCATCCTCCTGGACTTTCTTATTGCACATATTCATCAAAAAATCCCATTGGCTTTTCTTTTGATAAACTTCTAGAATCCAGGCTCTCTGGATCATGACTCTGCGTTCTGAACCATGTTGATTCTCTAACTTGCTTCTGTGACAGCCTGCTTTGCTGCTCCCATTGCAGTATGTTCCAAACACAGCGGCCCAAGGTACAGGACTTTTCTTAGCTGCTGGAAAACCCAGACTTCTCTTGAGGCCCAAAAGAGAAACCCAAGTCCTTACATTGGCCCTTGGGGCTCTGGGGATTTGAATCTCCAAACCACCCTGGACTTCGTCTCTTACCTTCCCCTCTTTCTTTAGCCTGTCACATTGGTCAACTGGGTCCCTTAAGAAAGTAAGTTCCTTCTTTCGGACCTTTGTTTGGTTCCTTTCACCCTGGGGCTCTTCCCTCATATACCTAATCCTTTAGTTTACTTTGTCCTTCAAGACTTTGATCTGTGTTTACCACCTTTAAAAGGCTCACTTTAATCTCCCTATCCAATGCTCCATCCAAGCTCCCAAGCCCATAAAGGAGCCTAGCCACATTTACCCACACAGGACTTCCCACCATACTGCATACAGTAATTAATTACTATGTGTATTGTTTTGTATGGTCCCTGCAGTACCATATAATATCTGAGAGGGCAGGAATCTTTGTCCTACAACAGCACTTGGCCTGAATGTAAGTGACAAGAACAACTCTCCAAATAAGTGGTAGGCACCTGAGGCTGAGTTTGTATTTCCTCGGCTCTAGCATACAGCACAAGGGTTACTGTGCTGGTTAGTTTTTGTCAACTTGACACAAACTAGAGTCACCTGGGAAGAAGGATCTTTAATTGAGGAATTTCTTCCATTGGGCCATGTCTATGAGGCATTTTCTTAATCACTATTTGATGCAGGAAGGTCTAGCCCACTCTGGGTGGTGCAATTCTTAGGCAGGTGGGCCCAGGTTATATAATAAAGGTAACTAAGCAAGCCAGGGGAAGCAAGACATGGTCTCTGTTTCAAGCTCCTGCTTTGAGTTCTTGCCTTGGCTTCCCTCAATGATGGACTATAACTTGTAAACCAAAATAAACTGTTCCCTTCCCAAGTTGTTTTTGGTCAGTGTTTTATCACAGCGACAGAGAACAAATTAAACCAGTTAGGTATCCTATCAATAAGGCTACTGTCTCTGAATGTGGAAGAACTGAATTCATAGATTGAGGCAGTATTTAGGTTCATTGTGCCTTATGCATATGCTTCGACCGTTTATCATTGTTCCCTTGTTCCATTAGCAACACTTCGCTGTAGAATGGGGTTTGCATCCTCAAGGCCCAGCTTCTGTTCCTTATCTAAGCAGCTGGTGGTCACCTGCCAACAGGTGTGGGCATGGCTCTTGTCCCCTACTTCCTTTGAGGTTCTAGGCAACTTTTCTTCTGCTATACTTCTCCCCTGATTGATGTGACACTATCTCAGTGCTGTTCAACATGAATATAATTCAAGCCACACAGGAACTGAAAATACTTTCAGTAGCCACATAAAAAGTTTCAAAGGATAAGACCAAGTTTAATGATAAATTTTAGTGAATCCAACCTTTCCACAATATTTTATCAACACATAATCAATATAGAAAGTTAATGAGAGACTTTACATTGTTTTTCATATTGTCCTCATCACCTTGTGTGTATTTTCTACTTTTAGTTGATTAAAATGAGTAAGTGGTTGATAGCAGCACATAACCATGGATTCCTTTTGTGCTTTAGTTTGGCTATATTCACTCTGGTTTTTTGTTTTTTCTTTTGACTTTGGACAATGTGTCATATAGTCTAGTCCAAATTTGTTATGAAGCTGAGGATGACCTGGAACTTCTCTTTCTCCTACCTCCACTGGGATTACAGGAGTGTGCCACCATACCTGGCTTTATATAGTGTGGAGATGGAACTCAGGACTTTGTGCATGCTAGGAAAACACTCTATCAATCGAGCTATATTACTATTCCTAAATGTAGTCTCAGGGCTGGGTAGTAGTACTCAGTTATATCCACTTTTCCAACTACTGTTGATTATTTTGTTGACTTCCTACCCTTCATATTATCTGAAAGGCCCTATCCTATTATCATGCAGGTATTACATTTCAATGAACTTTCCCAGAAAGAAGACAAAGAACCTGACTCCTGTACAAAAAGCAAAAGCAAAGTTTCTGGCAGCTCTCTGGAAGGACAGAAACAAATGCTAGCATCTCAGGATCAGCAGGTGATCAGCACTTCTTCACAAATTGTTCATTCTGCCTGCACCTTTTGATGATGAATGCTTGCTCTGAATATTATCACTGTCACAAACAGTGATGACCTCATATCATCTGCAATTTCTTTCTGACTATGCCTTTTATATGACTTAGGTTGTGAGCTAATTTTCTAAAGAGTCTGATCTGGTATCTTGTGCTCATGTTAAAGAAACTTAAGACAGTCTCATTACTCACCTGACTCTGCAGGTCACAGACTTTTAGATGGCAGTAAGGACCAGGAGTTGTTATGGGATCCCGAATCTCTGCATCTCTGCCTGTTCTGCACTGTGCTGAAAGCTGCGTTGTCACATAAAACTATTATGGTTAGAAGATCAGGAGCAGGAATACATTTCCAGACTGAGAACTGGCTTGCTTGCATCTATTTGCATACTTAGAAAACCACAGGCATCTAACTAAAAGCCGGTGAATTTCCCAAACCTACTTTCCCTGGGTGAACTTGACACAGCTGTGGGCTCCATGAGCTGCCAGGGGGACCAGACCACTTCTTCCCCTCCATTCTTCTCTTCATCCCAGTCTGCCCTCTCCCCGACCAACTCCCCAGACCTGCTAACACAGGTTCTCCAGAGCAGCTCTGCTTCGCTTCTGTAAAAAGACCTTTTAATGGTGGTGCTTAGCTTTCTGATACTCATGTTCAAGGCCACATTTTTTGTTTCTTCTTTTGTTAGGATGAATCTACAAATGAGAACGATCTGCTCAGTTGTTACTTTGGGAAACTTCTCTCTAAATTAGATAGAGACAAATCTTCTTATATTCTAAGTATGGCCAACAGGCTTTATGGAGAGCTGGAATTCCCGATCTGCCCGGTGAGTGTGAGCAGTGACGAAAGTTCCACAGAACATGCTACTGGAAAGTGAGTAGGTGGACGGCTCACCTGATGCCTAGTCGATGGAACTCTGACAGGATGGAATGCTGTGAACTGCTGCAATGCCTGGGACCTAACTTCTTTGGTCCCATGCATTTGTTTCCTTCTCCCTAGTTTTCAACTCGGGTTTAGGAGACCTCTTGGAGGTATCACAAGGTGGATGGAAAAGATCATGTGTGTAAAAGCCCTTTGAAGCTTGAGTGGGCTGGTAAGCACCCACATGACTGTCTTTCCCAATCAAGGTGCCTGGTAGGCATATTTTGTGGCTTTTCTGCCTGTTGGCTGCCCTAAAGGAACTACTCTAAAATCACTTGTGCCTCAGATCAGGTGGTTCCCATGGGAAATGTGCTCACTCTGCCCTGAGGGATGGGTTTGGTGCCTCAGAACTGGGTCCCACTGAGAACTAAAAGCCACAAGCCTTGTCTCTGTAGCTAAGAGGCTTTTACCTGGAGTAGGATGGGCTTCAGTTATGGCTGTAGTCTCTAGAAAGTGAACTGAACTGGGCAATAAATGTGAGGGATGTAACCAGAGGCAAATATGACACAGCTGGGGTAGTCAGGGAAGGGGAGAGTCTTTCTTCCATCAAAACAACTTCTCTTAAAAGAGGGATGAGATTTTTATATTAGATTTAAAAAACCTAGGTTCTTGAGATATAACTCCACATATATAATTCATCTGTTAAAAGTGTGCAATACATGGTACAATACATGGTAATACATCATTCACTAAAATTATGCTAAAAGCCATATAGCTCAAGTATCCGTTTTAACTTGTGACATTTGAAGTTCAGTGCATTAATTGCATTCACCCTGTAACTAGTACGCTATCTGCTCATGAAACTTTTTCATCATGTAAACAGAACCTCTATCATCATTAAGTGGGGTTTTAATATCTAAAAGTTGGATGCATTTTACAACTAAGTCTCTCAAGTTAGTATTTGTTCTGTGACGTTTCCATGAGAGAACTGTAGAATAAACAAAGGGATACTATGTAGGAGTGTCTCTTGCCACTGTAACTCTAGACTGCTCCTTGAATAAGGCTCTGTGTCTTACATTGTCCCTGAAACAACTTTCTAATTCCAGCTGGGGATAGAGTTTTTCTGAATCTGTTATGTTTCTTCTTAACAATTGCTTGAGCCACTGTTTCAAGAATGATTCAAATGAGGTTCAAAGTGTCCCACCTATTTGATGCTACAGGAAAGGCACCCAAAGTTCAGCTTATAACCTTATATTTTTCATTTAAAAATTCTATTTTATAATCCTAAATGCTAAAATAAGAATGGGTATCAACGCTCTCTGAAATATATTATAGTCCTTGTAATAATTATACTTTAATGCCAGATGTGGTAGTGCATGCCTCTAATCCCAGCACTCAGGAGGTAGAGACAGGTGGAGCTCCGCGAGTTTGAGGCCAGCCTCGTCTACATAAGCGAGTTCCAGGTTGGCTGGGACCACAGGGAGACCCTGTCTCAAAAAGACAAAAAAAAAAAAAAAAAAAAAAAAAAAAAAAAAAGGGCCAATTTTCTCTAAAAATTTTTTTAGCCCTTTAAAAAATTATATTTTATAAAAAATTTTTTAAAAATAAAAAAAATAAAAAGAAAAGAAGAGGAAAAAGAGAGATGGCTTAAAGGTTAAGAGCACTGGCTGCTCTTGCAGAGGACCTCGTTTCATTTCCCAGCATCCAGATGGTGACTAATAACCATCCTAACTGCAGTGCCAGGGGATTTGCCACACTCTTCTGAACTCTGCGGGCATTGCACTACACAGGTGCCCTTATGTGCATGCAAGTAATACACACATACACATGAAATTAAAAAAAAACATTTAAATTAAAACATAATGCTCTGTATATCCTGACTGAGACTCATATGGAATTGATATGCAGCCTCTGAAATATGTTATAGTCCTTGTAATAATTATACTTTACTAATACATTTTTAAAAATTAAAAAATTAAAGAAAAAAGGCAGGGGACAGATCTTGGCAGGCGCGCTCCTCTGAAGTTGAGTGCTGTGCGTTTTCCTCACGGGGAGTCTTTTCACTGTCTCACTCTTCTTATTAGCATCTTTATAGTATCTTCTTGCAGCTTCCTCATGTATTTGAATTGTACAGGAATACTTAGATGGTGTGATTCAGTTTTACCACACGACGGTTGAAAGTATTGATTTTCGGAAGGATACTGAAAAGTCGAGACAAGAGATTAACTTCTGGGTTGAAAATCAATGCCAAGGTAAGAAAATCAAGCAGTGTAGCTGGCATCCCTTCGCATCTCAAAGAAAACCAGCTAGCCCAGCTGTTCAGGCTGCTCACGTAGGTGGACTGTGTTCATTTTGAACATCAGTTAAACTACTTGGGCATCTCTATTGCTTGTTATTACTTTTTTGTTCCAACATAGATAAAGGCCAAATGTCTTTCAGCCAAATATAATGCCAACAGGTTGTTAACTCCTTCCATTAATTTCAAAGGGTTAGTGAAAAGTCATGATTATGAATCAATTCTAGTATCTGAGAGGGACACAGAAATCATATAATTACTTGTCCTAGTTCCATTTCTGTTGCTGTGATAAAACACCCTGACAAAAAGCCACACAGGGAGGAAAGGGTTCCTTTAGCTCACAATTTAAAGCTATAGTCCAGGGGCTAGAGAGATGGCTCAGCGGTTAAGAGCACTGACTGCTCTTACAGAGGACCCGGGTTCAATTCCCAGCACCCACATGGTGCCTATGAACCGTCCTTAGTTCTAGTTCCAAGGGAATCCGAAGCCCTCTTCTGACCTCCACAGTATTGCATGACACAGGTGCACTCACATACATGCAGGCAATACACTCATACACATAAAATTAAAAAAAGTAAAATACTAAAAAAAAGCTATAGTCCATTGTTTCAAGGGGTCAAGGCAGGAACTCAAGCAGCTGGTCACATCACCTCCACAGTCAAGAGCAATTAAAACTAACCATCACAATATTCTGATCAAAGTTTTACAAGATATATGATATTTTCTGGGTGAAGAGAAATATAGAGATAGTGACAGAGATGACAATTTGAGTTTAACATAAATGGAGTAATATTTTGATATAAAACTCTTCCAACTCTGTTTCTCAGCAAATGCAAGTCTCAAAGTGGATATGAGGTTGGAACATGGGGGTCCTAGAGTGCTCATCTCTTCTCAGTCACATTTAAATAAAATCTGCTGCCCCAGCTTGCTTGTTGACAGTCTTTTCATGCCGTGGACCCCTCCCCCAAGGGCATTCTTCAGCGACACCCTCCTTTTAAACTGTCTTCATAATATTTTCTTAGGACACGCATTTGCATGGCCATTCCAAACAGCATATGAATTGCTGCTTTGGAATAATATTGTTCTTTGTGGAGTACTTATGCCTTACTTAAGTAAGAGTTCAAGTGCAGACATGCTCACATTAAATGCAAGAATGAAACTAAATGGTACTGGGTATGAAGGCAGTCAATTAATCCAATGACCTTGGGGAGATGCTTGCTTTAGTTCTGCATGTGAGAAAAAATAGGCAATATTTGTTTTTCTTTCTCCCCATTACCCTCTAATTCCCCTCTATTCTCCCTTTAAAACCCCCCCTGTCCCCTCCTAGTCCCCCTTCTACTTTCCTCTCACACACCTATACATATGTGTGTGTGTGTGTGTGTGTGTGTGTGTGTGTGTGTGTGGTGTATTTAACTCTAGATTTCTCATGTGAGAGAAAATATGTAATATTTGTCTTTCTGAGTCTGGCTAATTTCACCTACCATGATGATCTCCAGTTCTATCAATTTTCCCTCTACTTTGTAGTTAAATAAAACCCCGTTGTGTATGCATACCACATTTTTCTTTATTTATTCTTCTGTTTCTGGACACTTATGCTGATTACATACCTTGGCTGTTACGAGTAGTGCTGTAATATACATGGATGTATACAAATTTCTGTAGGATGCTGACAGAATCCTTTGGGTATATTTTTCAGAGTAAAACTGTTAGATCACGTGGTAGTTCTGTTTTTAGATTTTTTGGGGGAATATCTGTGCTAGTTTCCATAGTGGCTCCACTAGTGTACAATTCACCAGCAGTTTAGAAGTGTTCCTTTTTTGCAGGGGAGTTTTTAAAAGGTGTCAATGGACAGATGTGGTTGAGACTTGCAGGAGGCATTTAGGGACCATGACAGAAGAACAAGACAGAGGAGTTGGTGGCTCAGCAGTGAGGTGGTGGTGAGAGGAGGATTGGAGATGTACCACAAAGTGGGAAAGAAGGATTCTACCCAGTTGTTTGGATAGATGGTGGATTACTTATTGTGACTGAGCATTACAGTCACAAACATCATTTGTCCTGCAATGACATAATTATAATCTCTGCTATGGCTGAATAAAACTCTATTATGTATATATAAAGGTTCTACTCATTAATTAAAACAATAAATACCTTAAATGGAGAGCCTGGCATCTTCATTTTAAACTTGATTCTGAACTCAGCCAATGAGAGAGAGAAAAACCTAAACTGCTTTTCCATTTTCTTCTTTACTTGAATGTACTTGCTCCTTTGTCCCATCTCCTAGACTTTCCCCCCACCATCACCATGATAGAGTTTCAAATCAGCCTGAGTCTAGGTTTCATGGAGGACTGGTTTATAGTTCTGTTAGTTGTCAGGAAAGAAGGCAAAATACAAGCCCCTGATTGTCCAGGTGGTGCTTAGAGAGGGCTCCCTTCTATCTGTGCATGAGTATGTTTACAAAACTGAGCTCTTCCTCTCAGACCTAAAGGTTGGTAGAGGGCATTTGCTTTTTACCAGTGTAGGATTGGAGGCATTAATGTGCAATGAAAAATTTGAAGAAAAGAGAAAGGTGATACACTGCATCTCCTGCCTGTAAAGTAAGACTTTTTTTTTTTAAACAAAAACTTTATTGAGAATTTCATAATGCATATAATGTGCCCCATCATAAAGTAAGACTTTGACTCAGGGCCTTTCTACACCTTCTGAGTAACCAACAGTCTGAGAACAGTAGTTGATTTATTCTGCTTTGATTCTGGTACCTGATGCAATGCCTTCTGCTCCTCTCTTCCATTTGGAGGCTTCCCCTTCCTGTCTTTTGTCCTCTTTACACGACTTTGGGCCAGCTTTATGGCTGACATTTCTTTAGAGAAAATCTTCAGATCTTCAGTTCCCTAAATTATTTTCCCTCTCTTCTTCCACATGCCACAGAATTCCTACTCTTTTGAGGTTGCATTCAGCTGTCAAGAGGAAAGTAGTTTGGTGAAGAAATTCTGACTGAACCTGAACATCTAGTTTCTCTTCAGTGAGTTGGCTCTCCCAGAGTATTTTAAGTATAGTATAGTTGATGTCAGCATAATATATTATTATGGAATATAAATACAGCCTTTCTTGAGGTAGAAGGATCATCCCTCATTAAGACCTCAGTGTGGATTGACTAGTAATTTGATATATTTTTCCTTTTTTATTGAATTTCTGAGAATATCATGCAATATATTTGGATCATGTTTATCCCATTTCCCTTATCTGCACCCTTCTCATAGCTCCCCTGCCAGATTTCATGTACTCTGTCACATATGTTAAGGCCTATCGAGCCAAGTTGGTGTCCCCAATGTCCTTCGATGAGCATCCATCCATTGTAGTGTGGTTAACCTATATAATGTCACACCCTTAAAGAAAACCAACTGTCCTTCTCCCAGTAGTGATCAATTGCCAATAGTTTGTCGGCTAAGGTTGGGATTTCTTACCCATTTCTCCACTGTATAGTGGATTTTTGTCTGGATTGAACTTGCATGGGTCTTGTGCATGCTGTTACCGTTGCTGCAGGTCCATATGAGTAACTTCCCAACTGTCTATAAAACTGTTTCCTTGTGATTATTAACCACGTCTGGTTCTTACAGTCTTTCTACTTCCTTGTCTTTTATGGTGTCTGAGCCTTGGGTAGCAGAGGATTAATATAGGTGCTCTGTTCAAGGAAGAGTTCTCTGCAATCTCTTAGTCTCCATACTTTGGCCAATTGTGGCTTTCTGAGTTAATCTATTGCATGAGGAAGCTTCGCTAGTGAGAATTGAGAGATGAATTAACATTTTTCTACCCCCTGATCTGCTGTGTTCACTGAGCCTTAGGTATAGAAGTTGTATTGTGCATGTGTCACTTAGGACTGGATATCTCATAGTCACTTATTCTCTACATTTGACCAGTTGTAGAACTGCGCCATAGTCTCCATCTGTTGCAACAAGAAACTTCTTTGATGAGAGATGAGAGGTACACTTGTCTGTAGATATAAGGATATGTATTTATAATACAGTAAGAAATAATGGTCTAATGGTGTGACAAAAGTAGGTTTTTCTGTAGGATCTATGCCATCTCTAGCCATGTGTATGATCTGATAGTTCAAGGTGGAAAAGAATATGCCTTGAAGTGGACCATTGCCTGATGACAGCATGGACTACTTCCTGTCATCCTTAGAAGTGCTTCCTGTTGTACTTAGTGCCCTGTTATCGTGGAGGGAGCCCCAGAGCTGAATCAAGAGATGGTAGGCCCCAGGACTGATAACAGTCAACCTTGTTGCTTTTTGACTATTTGGCATTTGATTGCCTGTAATTTATTATTCCATAAAGTAAAGAAAATTAAATCTACTTCTCATGTTTTATTCTCTGGGTAGGGCTTAGGAGTGATCCTTTCTACCAATGAATGCATGAGTTTAAAAGCCAAATGAACTCTGCCTTTAGGTGAAATGAACGAGAGCATGTGGAAAAGTTTTTTTTTTTTTAATTTATTTTTTGTGAATTTCATACAATATATTTTGATATATTTAGATCTTCTCCCATATCCCCCCCATGACCCTTCACCAAATTTCTAGTATACATGCCTATAGGGTCAGGTTTGTGGCCCCAAATGGAAGAGGGAATAGAAAGACTGTAAGAGCCAGGGGAGGTGGATGGCCACGAAGAAACAGTTTTCTAGACAGCTAGTCACTTACTCACATGAGTTCACAGTAATGGGCTAACAGCATGGGCTAGTCCCACGTAAGGTAATCTCAAGCTAGAGAAAACCTCAACATAGACTTGGAGAGTAAGAACCCCCAACCCTATCTGAGGAACCACTGGAAAATGATGACTGCTGGGAATAGGAGATCTAGTCTCATTTAAGGGCGAGACTCTTAGTGGGTTGACCAGGCTTCAGTGGATGAACCTACAAAATGGGTTTTAAATCACAATCAAGTACATATGCATGTATATCTGTTTATATGTGAGCACAGGCTATACTACAATGAATCAGAGAGTAAATTAATATCATAGTTATTGCCAGTAAATTATAAAAAATCAGATGAATACAACTATAATGTGAAAGATAAATTATGTATTAGACAAGTACTAACCAAAGTGACAGAGGATCAGTGCCCTGGTTCTATTGCTCTGAATTGGATCCTCCTTCAGGTGGAATGAGAGTCTTTCTTCCCACTCATCTCTCACCCCTCCTTCAGTTCCATCCACCCATCACATGAATCCCTTAGGTTTCATGGGTAAGCTTTGAATGAAACATTCTCTAACCCAGGGCAAGAAAAAATTCTGCCTCCATGAATACTTTTGCTACAACATGTGGCCATGATATTTTCTGTTACCTTTTCTCTAGGTAAAATTAAGGAACTGTTCAGCAAGGAGGCTATTAATAATGCAACTGTGCTGGTGCTGGTGAATGCTGTTTACTTCAAGGCCAAGTGGGAAAAAAACTTTGACTGTGAGAACACAGTTGATGCACCTTTCTCTCTAAATGAGGTACTGTATTAGATCAGTGTTTTTCTAGATAATTCACTACTAATGTCACCTAACAGTGACTCATAATATATAGTCTCAAGCCTAAAGTTTTATGAGCTATAGCTTACAATTACAGTAAGAACATTTTTTTGATTCACAAAAAGCTCACCGAGCATTTTACATTTAACTATTCTACAATATACACGTACTTCAGAGCATCATGTTGTACATGCTAAGTATACATCTTTAATCAAATTAAAAGGCATATATACTGATGTGGTTGATACATCCCTATAAACTTAGCATTTGAGAGGCAGAGGCAGGAGGATCATCACAAGTTCAAGGCCAGCCTGGTCTCCATAGGGCATACGAGGCCAGCCAAAGCTATATAGTGAAACTCTGTCATAGAACAAAACAAATGCATCTACTTTCAAAACAGACCAGCTTCTTCATTTTGAATCTGCTTCTGATTTCAAATGGTCAACAAATGAGATGAGTCAACTTATCCTCTAAGTTTTCTTTCCCCTTTGACCATCTTCCTCTAGATTTATCCTCCCCCCATCCCCTTGTCAAAAACTCAAAACACCCCAACTGCACGTTTCCTAGGGAAAGTGGTCTGGAGTCTTATTAGCAGTCACCAGTAATAAAAGCAGCAGACAGGCTAGATAGTCCCTGAATGTTACCCTTTCCCTATTTCGTTTTTCTGTAAAATAGCACTATGCTATGGATATTATGATTTCTAGTTGAGATTTGAAGAAAAAGATGTAAAAGCTAAGCTAACCAGCCATGGGTTAGGATTCACATCTGTGTTAGACCCTAATCTCATATTCTAAACCAGACTGTTTAGAATTGGAGGAAAGGGCAGGCATCAGACCACAGTGAACTTATTAGCCATTTAGGTTTGCAACTGGGGGCAAGTTTTTCTCCTAAGTGCTGAATATCTTCATCTGTTGATTGATGAACTCCCTCTCCCTATCTCAAGGTTACTGTAAAGTAGGAGGTATCCAGGATGGTGTTCTTTCCTCTGAAGAAAGCCTGTGGCATGGGTGCTATTATTTAACATGCAGATAATTATTATTTAACTGAGGCTCCCCTTGTTATCACAGAGAGTCATCTAAGCCAGAGAAAGAAGTGAGGTCAAGGGGCTGAGGTGTGACAAATGTTGAAGATGGGGCACTTTCTGGGCTTGCTTTGGCCGACTAGGATGTGGGAAGTGTTTGGATTGAAAATCTACCAAAAAGTAGTCTTGAGAGCTAAAAATAAAGTCATGGGCAGATAAAGTGTTGGCAAAGCAAGGGCAGACTGATTGGTGGGTAACTCTATTGAGTCACTGGCATGGCTCTAGACTTCTGGAATAGATCTTTCTTATTTTAGAGAACCCTTGTTCTCAGAGGTGTTGGGGCTGTGGGTGTTTGAGTTTTCCATGGTGATTTTGTGATTTCCTTCATGTCCACTGCAGAATGAGAAGAAGACAGTAAAGATGATGAATCAGAAGGGTAAGTTTAGAATTGGCTTCATTGAGGAGCTGCAGGCACAGATCCTAGAAATGAAGTACACCACGGGGACGCTCAGCATGTTCGTCCTGCTGCCATCTTGCTCAGAAGACAACGTGAAGAGCCTGCAAGAGGTAGAGCTCCATTTCCACATCTGTACAGAGTCTAGATCCCTAGGAGCAACACTAGCACGCATCAACCTGAGGAGCGGTGATATCTCAGCTAGACATATTGAAGACCACATAAGAGTCTGAATGAGACTCTACATTTATTTGTTTGTTTAAATCTGAAGAACCAACACCAAAAATATTGAAATAACAGTTTTGTTCTCAAGTTTATAGCTTTCCACTGTCACTTTTCCAGACCAAAGAATCTGGATGCCATGTGTCCTGAGAATTCTGCCTTTTCTTTAAATATCTAGGTTTTTGGCCCTGCCTCAGATTATTTGGCTATAGTTAAGTTAAAGACTCTTAGCTGCATTTTGTTTTGGGGTATATGTACTTTGGGAGGAGGAGTGGAGATGCTGATACTGTAGGTCAGGAATTAATCAAGGTGGGAGAGGCCCAGTTACACACTATTCTGGGGGCAAAAGTATAGATAGATACTTAGATATCTCACCATAGTAGTTAGAATAACAGTAACAACCATTATCCAAATTTTTTTATATACCAGCATTACTTTAATATATGCTAAGTATATTATACACATTATTTTATTTATTCATTGGGAGAACCTTATCATCATTTCTCTGTTTCATAGAAGATGAAATTTAACTTCAGAATAAGAGAGCTTACCTGAGCTCACCTGACTGAAGTTTGCTGGTCTTTGAACATGAGCCTGCCAAATGTCAAAGAACATTGGGACTTAAATTATTCATTAACTTCTAGAGAGGAAAAGGTTTACTTGGAGGAGATGTAAATGAAGTCAGACTATTTAGAGATTTAGAGAACGATCTTGAAGATTGTATATAACTAACTTAAAATGGACTGAGGCACTCTGAGGTAATGGAGTTGTTTTTTGCAGGCTTATAATCTGATCCTAAATATTATTTTCTTCTTCTTGTAGCTTGAAAAGAAAATAACCCATGAAAAAATAATGGCCTGGAGTAGCTCAGAAAACATGTCAGAAGAATCTGTGGCCATTTCCTTCCCCCAGTTCAACCTGGAAGACAGCTATGATCTCAATTCTATTTTGCAAGACATGGGCATTATCGATATCTTTGATGAAACAAAGGCTGACCTTACTGGAATTTCTCAGAGCCCCAATCTGCACTTGTCCAAAGTTATCCACAAGAGCTTTGTGGAAGTGGATGAAATGGGTACCCAGGCAGCTGCAACCAGTGGGGCTGTTGGCGCAGAAAAGGCACTGCCATCTTGGGTGGAGTTTAATGCCAACCACCCTTTTCTGTTTGTTATCCGACACAATCCAACCCAAACAATTCTTTTCTATGGCAGGATCTACTCTCCTTGAAGGGGACATGCTGTCTAGCACTTGGGTGTCAGAGGCAAATGGCAATGCAGTCTTCTCCTTGTATACCACAGGCACTTAGGTTTTTGCTAGTATCTAAAGCTGACTGTCTTCTGTTACAACTGTACACTCAATTCTTCCAGACTACCCTGAATTTTGTCCTGATGTTTTTTGTTACCTGAAAGTTGATTCTCACCTGTCTGTCAAAAATGAAGTAGCCTTGCTGTCTCCTTAATTGTTACTACCCTAAACTTTCAAGCATATAAATTTATCTTCTATGATGTGGAGGTCAATGCAATGTAGAATGGTATTGGTCTTACTTGTTACCTTAGGAAGGAAATCTGTAAGTTTGTCATTAGATTACCTCGTGAGATGAAAAGCTCAGAATCTACTTAAATAGGACTGAGAAGAGACAATGTAATTAGAATGTGTTTGGGGAAACTTGGCTCTATTTCCAGGGAAATATTAAACATGACCATCACTGGGCAAGATGCTTAGCCCCATCCTTTGTATCTTCTACTGTATTGAAGGTGTCCTGTGAGGCATTCGCACTACAGAGAAGTCAGAAACTGGACATTTATGTAAGTGATAGCTCAAGGACCAAGGACGTATGAATCTCCCAGCCAATACCTGTTTTACACTGGAGAGCAACCTTTGTGTTATGAATTTGACCCTGATACAGGAAAGTATCAAGAGGGTATAAAAAGTTTGCTGTAGGTTTCCCCTACTGAATCCAGCACTTCCCTCTGTCTCTTTACTCTCCTTCAAAAATCCCCATCTGTAGCTGGTTGCTCCTAAATACTCAGCCTGCTGAAGCTGAGGGAGAAACTGGCCACCACTGTGAATGACCGGCCCTCCCTCTCCTATATTGATAGTAGCCATCTGGATATGATACACATAGAAACCCCTTTCAGGAAGACTATTGGCTTCTTGTCAACTTCCAGGCTACTAACAGCTGGATGCCCATGTGTTTCAATTCTGGGTCCTTGCAGCTTTGTCTCTGAAACACCAATCAGAGTTCATTATCTCTGCTCTACCTGAATGTCTGGAATGGCATCCAGTATGTCCGACAGGAAGAACTGGTCAGTCTCTTTTCTGACAAGTGCATTTCTTGGTTGTGTCCAATGACCTGCCCTGCCTTGTGGCTGTCCTCCTCGCTGCCACTACATGGGGTAAGGTGGCTGCAGCAGTTCACTCTACCTGATCCGATGTTGATATGCTCCTTTTTTCCTAGCGACTTCTTTCTGCTGTGACCCCCGCATGCTCTGCATACAGTCTCCTCATCTTTGAAGCTCATTAATGCAATAAAACAATTTGAAATGTGAGGCCACTTGGAGCAGGAAAGAGCTCTTGATGCTTCTGAAGCTTCACTTCTCTTACATTGACAAGATTTACACTCACCCACCCGCCTGCCCACCAGGGGAAGGAGGAACATTCACTTCAGTGGGCTGCTTAACTGCTAGAAAACCAAGCAGATCATGAAAATTGTCACGAGAATGAACTCCTTCGTTTTTAAGTTCAGGGTGCTAGAAAGAGGTGGCTAGAAAGAGAACCATGGATACAGAGGATACAGGCCCTCTAGACACTCATTTTTTTTTGCCTTATTTTGTGTTAAGTTCTCTTTCTGATTTCATTCTTTGTCTGATACATAGCCCCCACCCCATGCCTTCCTAATTTTCCTCTTGAATTGAGGCAAGCCAGAACGTGTTGCTTCACACTTAATTGCTGTTTACTTCTTTCGCATGCATAGTATTTTAAAAATGACCATATCATTAACCCAAGACAGTTCTAACTGGGGCAGCAAAGTGGGAAGCTGTGTGGTTGGCTCAGTGGATTTCTTTGCTCTGTAGTTGAATGCCAACTGCAAACATTTTCTTCATTCATATTACTCAGAGTAATCTCGTTTCCTCAACTGCTTTCTCTTCTCTTTTTACTCCTCCAAAGAAGCCAGAACTTTTTTCTTACTCAATAAAGATAAAATACTTTCCCAAACATGCATATATCTCACTGAAATACCAGTTTCCTAGATTTAGTTATTTATAAGCTCCTAAGAGTAATTTAGTAAGTTTTCCCTATAGTGTTGTCTATCAGGTAAATCAGAGTTTTAGCTACAGATGGATGAAAAGGATTAAAAAGTACCTAGATACACAATAATGGAGCTGAGGGGAACCCACGCATCCTTTGTTAACACACAAGTTCTGAACAGATCATCTCAAGTTCAAGTTGAAAACAATGGAAGAAGAATGTGATCATGAAAAAATATTGCTAAGAAAGAGTGCATTATGCTGTGAACTCAAGAAAAGAGGCTCATGAAATAAACTATACAATGAAGTAGGAGAAAATTTTAAAACATTTTGGATACTTAATACGATTTAAGTAGACATGACTTCTATGGAATTAAAACAACTTCACGAATATAAACTGTGTTGCGATATAAGACAACCACTAGAGAAATAAAAAAATGTAATATAAGTTTTAAAATAATCTTTAAAGGTAGGTAAGAAGCAAAAATAACATGCTGGAAAATGAAATTAGTGGAACAAAACAAATCTGAGTGTTCCTCTTAGAACATTCGGAAACTAGCAAGAGGGAAGTTGTAGATATAAAGAAAGAATGGAGCCTGGGGAGATGACTTAGAGGGTCAGGTACATGTGCAAGGGTAAGGAGCCCCAGAACATATATGAAGCTGGTCATGCAAGCGGATGCATTTGACAAAGGAGAATTCTGGAAGCTCAAGAGCAGCTAGCCTGGTATAATGTGGGAGCAAACGACAAAGAGACTCCGTCTCAAAAGGAGATGAAAAGTGAGACTAGCATCTGAGGTTGTCTTCTGACCTCCACCCGTGCACTGTACACACACACTCACACACACACACACACACACACACACATACACACACGCACGCACACACACGCAAATACACATGTGGAGAAGACTGGGAGCAAACCTGAGGATTGTGATACTCCTGAGGAAGAAAGCAGATTGAATGTCATGGAATGAATAATCAAAAACATAATGGAAGTCCCATCTCTTAACTTGGAAAGTCACCTGATTATAAAGGATTTCCAAAAAAAAAAAAAAAAGAGTTAAAAAATAGATAGGATGAGAAACTATAAACAAAACTTGAGAAAGCAATCCTATCAGCATCTAAACAGTCAAGAAAATGGTTGTGGGCCAAAAACATTTATTTTGTGTTGAATTTTGGAGAACAATGAACCTCTTCTGTAGGTAGAAAGGGAAAATATATGATTAAAGAATTTCATAGTCAAGTTGACTTTTATATGTCAATAGAAAATTATTCTCAGATGTATTTCTTGTATATAAGCATGCATAAATTTAATCCCAGCACCTGGCATCGTGCTGCAAACATCAGAAATATTAAAATTAAATCAATTGCTGTTTGAGTGGACCCTAATGCAGCAGCAGACTCAAAAATCCAGTAAAGATTTTCTTTCAGTAAAAATATACCGTCAAAGCTGGGTGTGGTGGCACATGCTTTTAATACTAGCACCGGGGAGGCAGAGGCAGGCAGATCTCTGTGAGATTGAGACAAGCCTGATCTATATAGTATGTTCCAGGCCAGCTGGGGCTACAGGGAGACCCTGTCTCAAAAAAGTAGCTATTTAGAATTTTCACAATGAGTAAAACTTGTTGGCAGCTATGCTTCTTCTCATTAGAACTCAGAGTTTCAGATATTGGGTTTGCACATGAGAAAAGCTTCAGTTTTCAGGATAAGAGTGTAGCCAGAAAGTCTCTGAATTAGGAGTGTAAGACACCTAACAGGTCTTGTGCTTCCTGTGTGCTCCTGTCGGTGACCTCCATGTGCACTGAACCATTAGGCCACTTACTCTTTTGAGTCATCCAGAGAACAGTGTTACTCTTATTACTCACATTTAACAGGTGCTAGGTACATAAAGATTCAATAATTTGACCAAGGTCATTCAGGAAGCAAATCGTTGAACCTAGATTTGAATCAGGTTGGCTGGCTGACTGTTATTCAGTTGATAGGCACTACTCAATGCAGCCTTCTAAGTAGAAATAAAAAAATATAAGAAGTCATTCATTTCCATTTCTTTATTTTACGTTTGTGAACTGTAAGGATCAAAAACTTACTAAAGGTAAAATTTGGGGTGAGAGAGTAGAGTCTGGAGTTTAGAATACCACTGTTCTTGAATTTCAGAGATGGAGGATTCAAGAAAGTGTGGAGTATGAGGTAGGTAACCACTGTGGTAACTGTTCTCTGGACTGAAGTTGGAGTGCTGTGGTGTGCCAGGCAGTGAGTGGCACAGGGCTTTGTCCCAAGCCAGAAAAGTGTGTCTGTTGGAGTTGTGATGGTATGGTGGTGCCTGAAGTTGCCTGACATTCCCAACATAGTTTATAAGCCACTAGTAGATTTAACTGGAGGCGTATCCAAACTCTACCACTCCTAAGTCGCCAAGGCAGGCTGAAGCAAACCCTAAAGGGCATTCCTTGACAGTCTAATGAGAGATTTCAGCTGCAAAGCCAAGCTGATCACTAGATCTATCAAATATTTGAAGTTGATCTCTAATTTTTTTTTTTTTCTTTTTGAGATATGGTCTCCCTGTAGCCCCCCACTGGCCTGGAACTCACTATGTAGATCAGGCTGGCCTTGAACTCACAGAGATCCGCCCACCTCTGTTTCCCAGGTACTGGGACTGCAGGCCTGTGTGTCACACCACGCCTGACCTATTCTTTACTCTTTTTTGTGAAGTGCTGTTTTTTTTTTTTTTAACTTTTTGAGACAGAATCTCCCTGTAACTCCAGCTAGCCTGTAACTCACTGTGTAGACCAGGCTGGCCTCGATCTTACAGAGATCCACTTGCCTCTGCCTCCCATGAGATAGGATTAAAGGTGCTCACCTTATAATCAGGTGAGTTCTGAAGTTAAGGTTTTCTTCATTATGTTTTCGATTATTCATTCCATGATAATTCAACAGAGTTTACAGATCAGAGAGACTTTAAAAAACATAAAAACTGGAACAC